ATCTACTATTCCGGCATTTATCAACGAGGTCATCGTCGCACCAAGCTCTGCAAAGTCTATCGGAACTGGATTAGTGAACTTGGGGGATAATGTGACTATATGATCGGGGGATGAACCACCTGCAGATGGCACTCAGTTTACTCTAGATACGGTGGATGGCACGCATTGTTTTGAGCAATTTGCGAATGCTGTTTATTTCACTTTCTAACTTGGGTATTGAGTTAGTTTTGTTGGGTTGAGTCAGTCTTTTTGTACTGAGTCAGTTGAGTCTGTCTTGTTGTATCGAGTCTGTCCTGTTGTGTTAGAGTTGGGTGATTTGGGGGGTGTTACCTCCAACATCACTTGCTTATGTTGTGTTTGTCTTTTGCACTCTTTCTTTTGAGTCTGTTCCTGCCTTTGAGTCGGTTGTGCCAGTTGTGCCAAAAGATCTGAATAAAACGGCAGTGATTTTCACCCTTTTGTGTCTATTTCTGCCATTGCGCCAGCTGTGCTAGAAGATTTGAATGAAACGACAGTGCTTTTCACCTACGTTTTCTGTGCCTTGAAATCATTGCATTGACCTAAGTTTTTCGAAAACTTTTCGAACACTGTGATGAAAACAAAGAGGAAGAAATTCCTCAAGATTTGTAAAAATTTGACCAATTGAGAGAAAGAGAGGTATGCTAAGTCCTTAATGAATGAAATCATGTTTGTTAATATGAGTATTGAGAAGGATCCTGGCTTGATCCAAATTGGTTCTACATTGTCTTCGACGCAAGCAATTAGTCGCTTTCTTAAAAGATTTCAAAAAATATTTTGCGTGGTCCTGCGAAGACGTGTATGGAATTGATCTTGAGATTTTGCAGCATAGGATCGCTTTCAGCCTTGAGACTCGACCCCCTTTGCTTTCAAACCTTGAACCTGGATTCAGAATGTTCAATGGTCAACCACAATATGAGGCTTGTATGGCTAGATCGGAAGCAACCCTTGAACTAAGGGCAAGAAAGTCAGACCAAGAAGATCAGATGTGATCAAAGGAAGCTTGTAAAGCGAGATCAGAAGTAGCCCTTGAACTAGGGACAAAAAATGTCAAATGTGCTTGAAGAGTCAAAGATGAGTCTTTTCCACAAACCAATGAAGACTGGCAAGAAAGCCAAATTCGAGTAGCTGGAAGAAGAAAGTATTGTTGAAGGATAATCGAGTTCCTATCCACAACACTAAGGGCAACTTCAACCTCCATTGCATGGACTCCTACATCATCAGCGAACAACAACCATTCTACTGGATTCAGATAGGTTCGAGATCTCAAACTGATTAACATGGACAAGTTAACCTTTTCTGTCCTTGAGAGGCTTGCTGGGCCGAAAACCTAGAAGGGCGACCCAGGCAAAAGTTAGAGCAAGAAAAAGAAAAGAAGAAAACAAAAATGAAAATAAAAGAAGTGAAAAGAAAAAGAAAAGAAATGAAATGAAAAGAAATGAAAAGAAAAGAAAAACAGAGCTCGCAAGGTTGAAAACCCGGAAAGGCGGCCTGGCAAAAGTTAGAGCGTAAGCAAAAGTTAGAGCGGAAAAGGAGAGTGTCAACACCCGAGTGAACCTCAACCTGGAACTACGTCAGGCCTGATTCCCATGTTTGGGATACCTAGGCAACTTCATCCTGAAGTTCGGCCCCAATTTTTTCAGCCTGCTTGGCTCATCCCTGTTGATTGGTTTATCCTTGTTCAACTCGGCTATCCTATCCATGTGCGAATTGGCTTGTCTTTGTTCACATTCGGTTTTCCTATTCCGTTAGAAGATTCAGCTGCAAGACAATTCAAAGTTCAGATCTGAGGTTGTGCATCTCAAGAGTAAATTCTATGTTGGTCGAGTAGTGGCCATTTGCAAAAATAGTTTTGAGAATTTTTAATGAGGTTGACTAGTCCTCTCGAAAATTATTATATTTTCCAAAACTCACTACAAGAAATTGCACTTTTGGTGACTACTTTTGGCGACGACGTCAATTTTTCATCGCCAAAAGTATATTTTTGGCGACACAGTGATCAATTTCGTTGGTAAAAGTATACCTTCATCGACGCAATTTGTTGCCGTCGCTAAAAAGGCATAACATTATTTTAGCGCCAAATTTTTTGGTTGGCGCCAAAATTTCAAAACTTTTACCTACGAGGCTTATGTTTTAGCAACATAATGAGCGTTGCTATTAGTGTGCTTACTTTTGGCGACGACAAGTTGGCATGGGCAAAGAGTTAACCATTTAGCGACGATGACACTATTCGTCGGTAAAAGTTTTACTAGTGGAATGATGTGATTTAGTGATTTGTGTTTTTTATTATAATATTTGAAAGAGTTTTAAATATTTTAGTTACTGAATTGTAAAATTAAAATAATCATTGAATTAGATCACAAAATGAACCAATTGAGCCCAAACACACTCTTAAGTTGATATGACTAATTTGAGATAATTTAAACTTTTTCAAAGAATATGGTTAGATTATCAATTTCAATATGTTTGTTTTTATTTTCAGAAATTAGTTTCAATTTTTTTTTCCTAAAAAACTAAAAAAAAAAATTGGGTGAAAAAAAAACTTATTATTTTTGTATATTTTTATCTTTTAGGTCATAAATACTTTTTAAAATTTGAAAAATATAATTTTGATTTTTATTGCTTTCAAATTATTTTTAATTTTTTCAAAAAAAACAAATCTAAAAATTGTTTCGGATATATATATTTTTTTAAGTGTGATCTGCCTTTGGTGAGGCAGTGGCAATTTCCCTCCCAAAATTCCACCCCTCCCCTCCCTTCTTTTTTTTTTTCCCTCCGTCATCAAATCTCCCCTCATCACTCTCTACGATTTCACTCTTGCACACCCTTCTCTCACAATTCGTAGTTCTCTCTTCCTCATGATTTCACTCTTGATCACCGGGTTTGTGCCGTTTGCTGCTGCCGTGCGAGATCGGTGCTTCAGTCTCCCATTACAGGTTTGTTACCTTTTGATTTGTATCTCAATGCCCCTGCTTCTCTCTATCAATTTCTTAAATGAATCTATGTTTGTCCCTTATCTCAGAATTCGTAGTTCTCTCTCCCTCACGATTTCACTCTTGATCGTAGGGTTTGTGCCGTTTGCTGCTGCCGTGCGAGATCGATGCTTAAGTCTCCCATTATAGGTTTGTTCCCTTTTGCTTTGTATCTCAATGCCCCTGCTTCTCTCTCTTAATTTCTTAAATGAATCTATGTTTGTCTATTTTCACTTCTTCTATTATTTAGATTTTGAGGTTCTCTGAAGGATGCTTTTTCCAAACAAATTCCATGCTTGAGTTGGGGAAGATGGGGCCTTTACGGGTTGTCCAGTACAATATCATTTTGAAATGCAAAACTAAAAGGATATGAAATTTTAATGAACACCTAACCTGAATCCACATCAAACGTTTAGGTTAGAACATGGATTTGCCTCTGTATGAGAGGATGCCTGTGCCCATTCACCAGGAATTTATTCATCTTCTCAGTGGGCCTCTTACTTCAAATATTAATAAGAACCCACAGTGACTATTTATGTAAGGAAATAAAATATGAACACTTCTACTGGTGCATATGAATAAGAGAGGCTTTAAAATCTGTTCCATCTTAAACCCAATACAAGTCAACAATTCTGAGCCCACTATGAGTGTTGACATTTCATCCTTGCCCCCAGGGCATAGAGGTGGCTTATTTGTCATACCTTAAGTAACCCACTTCCATGCTGAAGCTTACTGGGATTCTCTTTCATGTAGCCTTACTCACTGAAGCACCTATTCAGGAGTTGAAATTCTGTCTCACAAAGGAAATGGTCTATTGCATCCAGTATAAGAACACTCTGGAGACAATGTAATGTTAGAAATAGAGGATGCAGTAAGATATTATACCATAAATCTTAAGCGCCAAGTTATGATTTTTTACGTGTTTGAATGTGAATATAAAAGCATAAATACAATATAGTAATTGAAAGCACATGCTTTAGTAGTTAAAATTTGCAACCAACTTAATTTAAAATTTGAGAACACATGCTTTAGTAGTTGTATATAAAAAGGCTGTTTGGTTTTCACTTATTTGCAACTATTTTGTTTAAATTTTGAAAACACATGCGTTAGTAGTTGTACCTAAAATGGTAGGGCGTTTGGTTCCACTTATTTTGTTTTCAGCTTATTTTCCTTTTCAGCTCAAAAAAAGTTTAAATAGCTTCGTTTTTTTAGTTGGGTTTTAGATGGTTTTTTAAGCTAAGAGAGTGTTTGGGGTGTACTACAAAAGTGCACTTTTTATTTTTGATCTTTTAATCTTGTGCGAATTATACTAACGGTCCCTATAGTTTGAGGTTTGTGTCACTTTGGTTCTCGACTTTTCAATTGGTTCATTAATAGAAAATTTAGAGGCAGTGGCTGGATGTAATTTGTGCTAGGGCTTTTTAGGAGAGCTGAAAATCCCTTTTAGATAAACATAGAACTTTCATCAAAGAGGGGGTATTGATTGGTGTAGTGGTAAATGCTTGAGTTCCCGTGTATGAAAATATGGGTTGGAATTGAAAAATGTAGTCCCTTCCCACAAATATTACAGAGGTTAGGCCTGTAGCCACCCTTAGTCCTTCCCTATGCCCTTAATTTGTAGGAGCCCATTAGGTAATGTCCTTTAAGAAAGATATTGGAATGAATTGGAATGGTACATTGCCATGCCAACAGCCTTTTACCATTTAACAGACATTAAAAATATATATATTTTCTTGTTTTTTTGTTGATAAATGTAAAAAACACTTAACTAAATACATAATATATGCAGATATAATAGAACTTTAAAGGATTTGTTGGTCGAAACCTTGATACAAAATTAAAAAAGCCTATAGGTAGATGCACCTTTATTGACGATGATATGTCACTCTACACTTATATTAACTACTTTGTCTTCATGTTTAAAGAATAAAAAAATAAAAATAAAAGGTAAAAAATAAAAGGTTGTGTCCTATTGATATTAACTACTATCTTATGATCAGACATGGACAGGAGTTGGATGTTAATTTCTGATAGATTCAGTCAGCCATATGTAGATGGGGTGAACTCATTTATTGAATTTGCAAAGGTTCATTTGGGTGAGGCTAGTGAGATTAAGTGCCCATGCATCAATTGTTGTAACTTTTATAAGCAGGAGTATGATAGTGTGAAGGCTCATTTGCTCATAAGTGGGATGATAGTATCATACACCACTTGGTTAGAACACGGTGAACTTTTAGAACATAATAGCCTTGATGAAAGCAATGGTGAGAATGATGAGGATGAAGATGAATATGATGAACTGATAGAGGACTATCAGAGGGGGAATTTTATGGAGGGTGATACTCTAGAAAGAGAGGATGTATGACATTTTGATAAAGTGTTAGATGCTTCCCAATGTTGCTTGTACCCAGGTTGCAAAAACTCGGATACTTTGTTATCATTCGTTATTCAGATGCTACATGTGAAGGTAGAAAATAGGTGGAGCAATAAGTCTTTTGACAAGGTTTTGGAGATACACAGGCGATTCCTACCAGAAGGCCACGTGGTGCCAGGGTCGATTTACAAGTGCAAGAAGTTGCTACGTGACTTGGGCTTGGGGTACGAGCTCATCGATGCATGTAAACATGGTTGTGTACTATTCTGGAAGGAGAATGCTCACTTGGAAAAATGTCCCACATGTCAAGCATCTAGGTACAGAGTAAATGATAGCAAGGGTAAGAAGATCCCTCACAAGATATTGCGTTACTTCCCATTGACACCTAGGTTGAGAAGATTGTACATGTCTAGGAAGACGGCAAAAGACATGAGATGGCATAGTGATAAGCGTGTGGATGATGGTGTAGGGAGGCATCCGGCTGATTGTAAAGAGTGGAAGGAATTTAATTTGCATTATCCAGAGTTTGCCCAGGAGACTCGCAATGTTAGGTTGGGCCTAGCCACGGATGGGTTCAACCCTTTTGGGAACATGAGCACTTCCTATAGCATGTGGCCTGTCATACTCATGCCCTATAACCTCCCACCTTGGAGATGTATGAAGGCCCCATTTTTCATGATGTCCTTACTTATTCCTGGACGTAATCAACCAGGGACTGATATTGATGTCTACCTAAGGCCATTGATTGATGAGTTGAAGGAGTTATGGGAGAATGGCGTGATGACTTACGATGCCTCCACTGAACAGACCTTCCGGATGCATGCAGCTGTAATGTGGACCATAAATGACTTCCCTGCATATGGTGACTTATCCGGATGGAGAACTAAAGGTTATTTGTCTTGCCCTCCTTGTAATGATAATCCATTGTCACGCGGGTTGATCAGTAAGATTGGGTGGGTGGGTCATCGAGCTTACTTGCTTGATAACCACCTTTGGAGGAAAGACAAGAAGTTTGATGGTTTAACTGAGCTTAGAAAGAAATCCTTGGATTTACCGGTGGAAAAAGTAATGGATCAATTGGATCAATTGCGGGAAGTCAAGTTTGGAAAGGATCCTACCAACAAGAAAAGACCACGAGAGTCTGAAGAATTGAATTGGACATAGAAAAGCATAATGTGGGAGCTACCGTATTGGAAGAAATTAAACCTCCGACACAATCTTGATGTCATGCACATTGAGAAGAATATTTGTGAAAACTTTTACGGGACGATGTTGGCCATAGATGGGAAAAACAAGGACACGTACAAAGCATGTGATGATTTGCAAGAAATGGGCATAAGGCAAGAATTGCATCTACAGAGGAAAGATAATGGATCCGTTGTAAAGCTTCAGGCAACCTACACATTGGATTCTCGACAAATAGATGGTTTTTGTGAATTCTTGAAATCGATTAGTTATCCAGGTGACTATGCAGCAAACATCTCAAGATGTGTGACTTCTAAAAATGGAAGATTATCGGGCATGAAAAGCCATGATTGTCATGTCCTGCTTCAACGACTTCTACCAATTGGCATGTTTGGTTTTGTGAACAAGGAGATCTGTACAACACTATTTGAGTTGGGCAACTTCTTCCAAAAACTATGCTAAAAAACATTAAGGCTGACTGATTTGGAAAAAATGGAAGAACGAATTGTGCTCATACTTTGCAAGTTGGAGAAAATTTTTCCTCCAGCTTTCTTTGATGTGATGGTCCATTTGGCTGTTCACTTGCCCCGTGAGGCCATGTTCGCTGGACCGGTGCAATATCGATGGATGTACCCGATCGAAAGGTAATCATTATGAACATATGGTTGTTTATTAATTTGTTATAACTAAACTATTGTGAAAAAATCCACCCATAAAAGACTAATGTTTAAGAAGTAATTTTCTTGCATCAAGAAGAATAATTTTCATTGTCAATTTTTGTTGAAGGTTTATTAGGACTTTGAAAGGGTATGTCAGTAATAGAGCACGTCCAGAAGGTTCTATCGCTGAGTCTTACATTGTCAAAGAGTGTCTTACTTTTTGTTCAATGTACTTAAAAGGGATTGATAAACCTGAACGAAATGATGATGGTGGTGAACGTGGTCCCGGGAGGGAGGTCTTCACCCAAAATGCTCGTCTATTCTCACCTATCACAAGGGCTCTTGACCCTTCGCAAAATGAACGAGAAATGGCTCACTGGTTTGTGCTGTACAATAGCTCTAAGGTGGAGCCATATATTGAGTATGTATTTAAGTTTAATTACGTTTATGCATAATCGTTCCATTTTGTTTCAAACTCTCATAGTTAATTACGTATATCACATTTCCTTGGGTAGGGAGCAGAAGAATATTTTACATAATCTACAAGGACGTGACATAACTCGGGTACAACGAGAAGAATTTCCAAAATGGTTCAAAAATCGTGTAAGATATACTAAAGAAAATAACTGAATAAAATTGTTGAAACTTTCAATTCACATTAACTTAGTACACTTGTTATATGGTGTTTTATGTAGATGAATGATTTGCGAACGAAAGGGTCACCTGAAGCAACTGACGAATTGTGGTCATTAGCAAATGGTCCTGGATCGGTAATTGACTTTTATTCTGGGTGCATCTACAATGGAATTCGATTCCATACTAGAAACCGTGAAAATCATCGTACCTGCCAAAATAGTGGGTTGGTCGTAGAAGGGGACCATAATGGGAACCAAATTAATTTTTACGGCTACTTGTGCAAAATATGGGAATTGAAATACTTGCATGGGGGTACAGTGGTTTTGTTCCAATGTCAATGGTATGACACCGATCACAAGAATAGAATATACTCCGATGAACATGTCACAAGTATTGATGTTACAAGACTTTGGTATAAAGATGACCAATTTGTTCTACCTAGTCAAGTAAGACAAGTATTCTACGTCAATGATACCAGCAAAGGCAAAAATTGGAGAGTCGTTGAACGTGTTAAGCATTGGGGAGTATAGGATATACCAGAGCGGGATGATGTCTCTAATGATGCTTTTCAACAGGATGAAACCACTGATGGTGTTGGGGTAGTGATCCAAGATAATGATGTTCAATACAGCAGGGATGATATGGATCCTGAGATCATTTTCAATGATCAACTAATGGCAGAGAATTTAGTTCACAATGATGACGAGGACGACACAATCATAGAGTATAATGATGATGAAGATGATGAACTGCATAGACAACCTGATGTTGATGCAGATCCTGATATAGATCTTGATATAGATTATGATATGTAGTGTTTAATTTTTAATTATATAGACAAGTGTTATAATTTAATAATAAATTGCTTGGTTTACATTGCATGGCATTGTTTTTCAAATTTCATATCATTGTTTCTCTATTTCATTTCATTTAATTATATGCCACATGTACAGTTACAAAGATGTCCAGAAACGGTAAATCATTTCTGAATCCCGGCGGCTTAGTCCAGAAGATGACGAAATATGAGAAGGATAGGAAAAAAACAATCCAGAAAAATAAAATCAGATTTGATGCTCTAGGGATAAAGTCCCTCAAGAATTCAATGTTTGGTTCTATTGAAAAGGACAATAGTGAAAGTTGTAGGGTGGGAAAGAGAAAGGTGGGTGAAACTGATAATGGTGAGGACTATCAACCACTTGATGATGATGAAGGACTGAGTTCTTCAAGTGATAATGGCGAGCCTTTTGATTCTCAAGTGATTGAGGTAATAAATGTGTGTTTAAAAAGTAATTTCTCTATTTTTTTCACTTGTTATATTACTTGTGGTATGTTTAGTTATTTCAAATTTATTTTTTATTAAGCAACCTTAAATTATTGAAAATGTACTAACAATTCTTTTTTATATTATGCTAGGATATTCATATGGGTCCCGGTAGGAAAACAAATAGGTGTGCAGCTCGCCTAATAGCTTCACAAACACCTAGGGAAAAGAGAAGTACTGTTGATGAAGATACACTTACTCTTCCGAGACGACCTGTAGCTGCACAAGTTAATCATTCAGAGAGCACACCTGAGGTCTCGACCCAACCTATCCATCTTCCCGCCTTACATACTAGGCCCGATCAGCTCCCTACCTCCGCCACTCAACCTGACCACCTTTCAAGTCCATGTACTGTGACTAACAGTGGAGGTGAGAATTGAATGACCACTTAAATGAAATGATAATTTCTTATCTCAATATTTATTTAGTGCATTCATGTTTTATGTCGACTAAATTGAATAAAATTTTGGTCATAATAGCATCAATTCCATTTTTGGGCAAGAAATGTGTATGAGGACCGACCCGAGGAAAGAATGTGGAGAAGATTAGAAAGGAACGTGGTGATCGAATACCCGTTACGCTTAACCGTTTGACCAAAGCAATAGAAGGGGATTATGCCACACCATTAGCAGCTGCTCTTGGTCAACAAATTCGAGTTCATGCCCCAGTTCGAAATGATGGATGGCTAGAAATTGCCTTTGGGTTAAGAGAGTCCATTGTTACAAGAGTTGGGGTAATTTGAAATATATGTGTTATATATTTAACATGTTATTTATGTTAATCGCAATGATATATAAAATATATTGAATTTTATTATTTCCAATTGCAGCAAACTTTTGACTTTGGGGACTACAATAATGATGTGGTTGTGAGATGTATTATTGATCATAAGTGCCAAACTTTGTACAGTGAATGAAAAAGTAGATTACACACACACTACAAATCCCTTAAAGAAGACAATGTATCTGACCTCAAAAGTCAGATACTATATCCTTGTAAAAAGGATGATTGGGAATGGATGATTGACAATTTGTGGGAAACTGATGATTGGAAGGTATTTATAAAAATATTTACTAAAGTAACATCCTCCTGTATATTAATACCTAATTTTTTTTTTAATTTGTAGGTAAAGTCAGAAAATGCGATGAAAGCGAGAGGTTGTGTGAAGTATAATCATACGAGCGGCTCGAGGTCATTTGCATCGCGAGCATCTATCATTGTAAGTGTAGATTTACAAATTTGAACATACTAAATTATAAATATAGAATTTTTTGATTGACTAGAAAATCTAATGAAATGAAAGGTACAAGGAAGCAAACCGACTATTACGAAACTATTCGAGGACACCCACAAACGTCACCGACATGGGGGAGTGTGGATAAATAACACAGCTGAGGAACATCATGTAACCATAACTATTTCAATTTCAATAATAAATGTTTGCATTTTGATATTATGTTTTAAGCTTATTTATGTTTCATTCATAGGCCACTATGGTTTCAAAGATCGCTGAGCAATCTCAACCTAGTGTCACACATCCATTGTCTGAGGAGCAGATTTCTAGAGAAGTACTTGGGAAGAGGTCGGTCTACTTGAAGGGATACGGGATCCGCAAGGATAGTACTTCATCTTCTACGCATTTTGAGGCTCCTAACTCTGAGGTGATTGTTCTTCAATAGCAGTTAGTTGACCAGCGACAACAATTAGTTGACCAAGGAAAGCAGTTAGTTGACCAGGCTCAAAACATGAGTACAATGCAAACTATCATTCAAATGTTGGCAGCAAAAAATGGGATAGATCTAGCAAACATTCCGGGGTTAGTTCCAAGCAACAATGCTGGTGAGGATGCATCGGGTGTAAGGGAGGATGAAACTTCTCTTGGTTGAAATAGAGGTAAATTTGACACCTCATTAAATTGATTTACTTTATTTAACCAATCCTAACATGTGTCAACAATATAAAATTATATAAACTTTGTATTACAATCCTAGCATTACAACCTTTGTATACAATAGCTTGATAAAACAATAGCTTCACAACAATTTTCTGATTAATTTTAACTATATTTGTATATTATTGTTGAAGTTAATGCATTAATAAAATACTCATGTTTTTATCCTTTGTTTACAGGTTGGTGATGGGTGTTCGTGGTTCAGTAGTGATATATATCGTTTTGCACGTTGGCATTCATTTAATTTTTCTTTGTTTCGTTTTATAGGTTTTTCTGTTGAATGTTTATATACTTTTTGGAATTATTATGTTTGGGACTATTGGATATAGTTAGACGCATTTTAGGATTCTTATGTTTAGTATAGTTGGATATTTGAATAAAATTTGGGATATTGAAATGCATTTGATATTAATTTGGTTACATTACTAATTGTTATGATGTGTTTAGTTTAGTTTTTACGCAATGTTATGTAAAGGTCTTTCTGGAATGTTTTACAGAGAAATACAGGTTACTTACAAATACACGTTCAGGAAGTGGATCAATTAGGGTTTAGGTGTAGTATGAATTGCTTAGTAATAATAGGTCATTGGAAGCTAAGATTGAATTTGTTTTAGATGGTTAGGCTGACAATATTTTAATCATCAGGAAAAAAGTATAGGGTGTCAATGTGTCTTATTTTATCTTGCACTTTTTATATTCATTTGCAGTAACTTGTTTTCAAATTATTTTTTTGTTCCCAAAAGAAAAAAAAATGGCTTCATCATTAATTCTGCTGGCTGCTGCTGCCGTGGTGGTTGATCCTTGCTGCTGCTGCTACTACTGCAATGTTGCTGTGAGGCGTGCATACTGCCAATCCATCTGATGAAGAACTAGCTGAATCAGCAGTTGTGATATGTGAAACTTCTGCAACATGTGGTGTGGTGTGCTGTGTATACAACTAAGGAAGTGAATGGTTTGCGGAATGTGGGTGAAGTTGCACCTGTCGGACATGCATGTTGAAGGGAAGGTAACAACTAGTATATTCTTATTTTTAGACTAGACTGTAGAAGAGTCCATGTAACACTGCAAAAAATACATTCTCAGAAGCTCTAGACACCTGTCAATGCCTATTTTTTTGTATTAAGCTTCCCTTATGAAAAAAGTATATGTTGGGACATTATTTAAGTCAAATAGAGAGGGTGGCAAAAATTTTAAGTGACTGATGCTTTGGTTGATGTCTGCTAACAGGTGCCTATTCACTTCCATAATGGTGGTTGAATTTGATTTTTTGTTTTTGATATTATTTTTTTTCCTTTCTCAGGTTGTTGAGCGGTTCCAAGAATTGTTTGGTCAGACAAAGTATAAGGAGGCTGCAGAACTTGCTGCAGAGTCACCGCAGGTAATTCTCCGCACTTCTGACACTGTTGCTAAATTTTAGGTTTTATTAACATGATATCAGCCCTAACCATTTGTCTTCAGAATGTGTAAATGTCAAGGCCCTCATTTACTCTTTATGCTTTGCAGAGTGTTCCAGTGCAAGCTGGGCAAACACCTCCTTTGCTGCAGTACTTTGGAACTCTTTTAACTAGGGGAAAGCTCAATGCTTTTGAGTCATTGGAACTATCTCGTCTTGTTGTAAATCAGAACAAAAAGAATCTTTTGGAGAATTGGTTGGCAGAGGGCAAACTTGAATGTAGCGAGGAGCTTGGAGATCTTGTGAAGGTTTGATTTGGAAGATTGAACTTTTCATGATGTTTATTGTGCTATAGTTCTTATACAAAACTTTTCTGTAATCCTTTATTTTTAATCTCTCTGTTTCAAATTTACTCATTGTTTAAACTATACTTAGAAAACTTTACCTGAAATGAAAATAATTTCCCAAAGTCGCTTGTTCTATATTATTTATCAGATTTGTTCTATTGGAATTTCTGATGTAATGAATCCTGTTTCTATTGCAGACAGTGGATAATGACCTTGCACTGAAAATTTACATTAAAGCAAGAGTGACTCCAAAAGTTGTTACTGCATTTGCTGAGAAGAGGGAGTTTGACAAAATTCTCATATACTCAAAGCAGGTGACATGCTTATGCAATTACAATCATTCAAATAATTTCATATGTTTTATTTTAATTTCACATGTTCAAAATATGGATACTAAAGATATTATTTTTATTTATCATTTTATAAACTACACATAAACTAGGAGTACCATTATTTCTGGAATTGATTGGAGCCATTGTCACTCCTGTAATTGATTTACTTTATTTAACCAATCCTAACATGTGTCAACAATATAAAATTAGATAAACTTTGTATTACAATCCTAGCATTACAACCTTTGTATACAATAGCTTGATAAAACAATAGCTTCACAACAATTTTCTGATTAATTTTAACTGTATTTGTATATTATTGTTGAAGTTAATGCATTAATAAAATACTCATGTTTTTATCCTTTTGTCCACAGGTTGGTGATGGATGTTCGTGGTTCAGTAGTGATATATATCGTTCTGCACGTTGGCATTCATTTAATTTTTCTTTGTTTCGTTTTATAGGTTCTTTTGTTGAATGTTTATATACTCTTTGGAATTATTATGTTTAGGATTGTTGGATATAGTTAGATGCATTTTAGGATTCTTATGTTTAGTATTGTTGGATATTTGAATAAAATTTGGGATATTGAAATGCATTTGATATTAATTTGGTTACATTACTAATTGTTATGATGTGTTCAGTTTAGTTTTTATTATTTGTTATATAAAGGTTTTTTTTAGATCTAGCTGAAAATATTTGTGACACAGAATTTCTAGGTTATGACACACTTTCCACCAGAGTAGTAGTTGAGGCTCTCTTGGTGAATGGGAAACCGGTACTACAGGTTTTCAAAGGCATTAAAGACATTTACTTCATCGTCTAACGTGTTACAAATGGCTGAAGCAAAGTCTGCTATAAGGAAACCAGTGTTCAATAAGGTTGATCAGCTGCGACCTGGCACTGGTGGACATAATCTCATTCGGAAAGTTGTTAGTTTGAAGACGGTGTTACAAAAAGGCCGACCAGATGGCCCCCAGGTACCACTGATTTTTTGTAATTTGGCCCATGCTTTAAATTTTAAATGTTTGTCATGCCTATCATACCTGTTGAACATTGATTTTTTTTGGTTGCACCCTTTAGTTTCCTCTGATGCGGGTCTTAAACTTAGGGCAAAGTTTCTATTAAGTTTGTTGAGTTTAATTCTTGGCTTTCCTTTTATGCAGTGGACTTGATGAAGCTTGATGGTACTGTAATATTGCGCAATGCTAAAATTGACATGTTCAAGGGGTCAATGAGGCTTGCAGTGGACAAGTGGGGTCGTGTAGAGGTGACTGAATCAGCCAGCTTCACCGTTAAAGACGATAATAACCTGTCATTGCTAAAATTGGTATGTTGTGCTGCCTCTCTGGTTTAGTAGTGTTGTTTTGGTCTAGTGCGTCATGATCTGTTCGGGTTTAACTTGTGATGGGGTTTGTTGCAATCTATTGCTAATGCTGCTATACTGATGGGGTTTGTATGGAGTCTCTCTGCTCTGTTGAAGATGATCAGCGGCTGCTTGTTTATGAATTTATGACCCGTGGAAGCCTCGAAAACCATCTTTTCAGAAGTGAGTGTGGAAATTCTCTTGATTAAATTCCTATATATGCTTTATTTTCATGATTATTACCTTTAGCAAATTGGTAATCTGACATCATTGTTCATTTGACACCTCAGAATGTAGTGGTATTTTTAGGTTATTGGGTTAAATCATCTGAAAGAAAATTAGGGTTAAGTAAGAAGAGAAGAAGGAAGAAGAAGAGCAGAGAAATAAGTTTAGGGCTTTATCATCTACTCTGCACCTCAGAATGTATTTATATTAGTGCGATATGAGATCACAAAACTACCTTTAAAATAAAATGAAAAGCTAACAACTCTAACAATCTAGTTTAGATCAACTATACTTGCAGACCAGTTTATATATTGGCTGTTTATCCTTGTGCCCTGTAAGTTCACAATACTGGTCTCTTGTACTTAAAAAATGAGGCCTCGTGGTAAATAAGTTCTGTTGGGTATTTCCTGCAGTTTTAGTTATTAGTACATTTAGTACTTAGGGTGGTAGAATGTTTGGAAAATCATACTGTTTTATGTTATTGCCAGGTTATTTGCTATAGGAAAGTACCATCGGAAGAACAAATCAAAGACCTGTTGCGCAAGAACAACTTTGAGGAAGCCATCTCCCTGGTGGAGGAGCTTCAAAGTGAAGGTGAAATGACAAAGGAAATGCTGTCCTTTGTTCATGCTCAAGTGGGTTTCCTCTTGCTGTTTGACTTGCATTTTGAGGAAGCAGTAAATCACTTCTTGCTGTCAGAAACTATGCAACCTTCTGAAATATTCCCATTTATCATGCGAGACCCAAATCGGTGGTCATTGCTGGTATATACTACACTTGCTTATTTCTATGGTCATGATATATACTACATTTGCTTGTGATATTGCTTCAACACAAGGCTGCTGATTGTGCTAGTTATTGATCAGCAAATTTGGCTGGAAAAATTTCTTTCTGACAAATTATAAGTAGCTAATACCAAACTAGGAATGGTTTTTATGCTATACTTTGTTTTTCTTTTCCTTTTTTGGTTCAGTTTCATGGTTTCTTTGGAGTTTTAAACTAGGAAATCGTGCATCACTTGCATAAACTAAAGGTTTCTTATGCTTTGTCACACTTAATTACAGATAATGATTGATGCAGTGACCTGTGAACTAATACTTCATAGAGATTTTTTTCCTCACTAGTTTTTAATTTGAGAGTTTCTTGGTAATTCTACATGTTGATTGGTGTTAAAAGTAAGTATTTTATTATGAGGTGTTGTTACTTGCTCTATTGTTGGTAGTTATTATTTGTGTTGGTCTAGGATTCTGGAAAAGTTTTATTTGCTGAAACTAAGTATTCTTATGAGTGTATTTTCTAAAAGTTTCTATTTAATTTAAATTCTAACTTGAGCTGGGTTGTGAGTCTTTAATCCAGCCTGTTATTAACTTAAATAATTTCTTCAAAATTTGAGTTCCATCTGGTCATAACTTTGCTTGTACCTTTGATGTAAGATGAGGTTTAAATACAATGAATGCTTTGTCTTGGTTAATGAACGATTGCGGAAATTTTTGTTGATTTGAATGGGGATAGCAGTCATGATTCATGGTTATGGTTCATTTCTTTCCCTTTCTTTTTCTTACTTTGTGAATTTCTTCTTCTACGGAACTTCTCAAAGCCCTTTGTATCACTAGAATCTAATCAAACACTTTGAATACTTTTGAACTCCCCCCCCCCTTCTTTTTTCCCATCATTCAAACTGAAGCTCTAATTTAATTCTTGTGGAGTTCATGTGATACAAACATTGTTAGAGAATCTCACTTGTACATAACAACTTGGAACTACTTTAGTTGGAGCCGCAACCCCCCCCCCCCCAAAAGTATCCTCTTATTGCAATCAGGGAGGCACCCACACCACCTTCCATACTAGTATATCCCAACAATATTGTGACTGGGGGATTCTCTCTCTCCCACGTAGGTGCTTGCATGCTTGCTCAGCATTTTCTTTATATTTTTAAATGAAATTGAAAAGATAATAGATGGGTTGATTTGATATGAAAAAATGGTTTCAGGGGCTCTTAGCCCAACATGATGTGAACTTGTCCTTTATCTCTTAGATTTATTTTATCTCAACATTTGGTTTTGCTTGGAATATTGTTTTATACACTCTTGAAGAGTTTGGTCTTTTCTCAAAGTATGTAAGAAGGGAGGGATTGCTTGAACTTTACTAAATTTGTGGGATAAGTAGTAGTGATAGCATTTAAGAAAGAGATTAGGAAATTGTATATCTTGGTACTTTTCATGTTGTGGAGCACTCCACTGTTACTTAACTTTGCATATAAATATTTGATGACTGGTCTTATTTGGGGCAATTTGTTGTGAAATTACTCGATTTCAAAGTAGAACAGAAACAGGAAGATGCTATCTTAGCTGGATTACGACTTTGTGTGTGTGTGTGTGTGTTCTGTTGCAAATATAATTTAAAATTCTGCGTGTGATTTATACGTCTTGAAATAGTCTACCTCTATCACTTAACCATTGGGACATGCTTAATAAATAGTTATAATGATGTGCATATGTTATTTTTACTTGGAAAATAATTTCCCTGTTTTGCTACCTTTATTTTTAATGTAACTTTCGTTACAGATGAAGTAATTTCTGCTATTGATCCGAAGAAGGTGGAAATTCTGCAAAGGTATGCTCCTCCTAAGTTATTGTATCTGCGACATTATCTCTGGAAAGTAATTCATAATAGCAAAGCCCATGCAGTTTTCTGTCATAATTATGTTCTTATGACCTTCAGTCTTTTTTTTCTGCCATTTTTTGAGCTACTTGGATGGTTAAAATTCCAAACATAGGGGCTAGCATCTGTTATTGTCTGCGTTTGTTTAATGGGATAGTACCTTTTATCTTCTGTGTTTGTTTGATTTGTTACCGCAACTGCTAATGTAAACATGATATGAAAAGAATGGATGTTTTTGAACTTTTTATTATTTTTGTTTCTGAAAACTTGAAAAATGATAACATAAAAAATGAGAATTCACAAATGACAATTATATTATATTTACATGACTTATCTTTTGGTATTTGGTTGATGCATATTTTGTGCGATCCCAATAAGTCTTTGCATTTTTGGTTGTTGTTAGGAATCAACTGTCTATTGTTATGACCGATTCAGAAGTTTTCTGTCCTGATCTTGATGGTTTTTGCCCAGTAACTGCAGTTTGCTTGATTATCCCTCTCCCTCCAGTCGTGCACATTACTAGTATTTTGGTTTCATGATGCCATGCTTATTATTCCTAATCAGTTGTGACAATATCAAGTATTGACTGTAGTGTGCATCTAATTTTCAGATTTCTCGATAGACTAGTGAGTACACTAGAGGAAAAGAAACACCACCAAGTGAAGTTAAAGGAGGGGTTGAAGGACTTGTCTGCCAAACGGATGGAGCTGCAGAATTCATTGACATCATTGTGGCCAAAGCAGGTGAGTTCATTCCTTTGTTGCTTAATTTAAGACACAGTGCTTTTGTAAGTATGCTGCTCGTCCTTTTCAAAGTTAGCTTTGTGGAATTTCGTGTGTTACCCAAGTTGTCATACACTCTAAATATCAAAATGGAATTTACAATTTACAAGCCCAAGTCTCTCTCAATCTCTCTCTGAAGTGCTTCTTTTTATAAACCCAGGGATCCGTATTTCATTGTGGAGTTCTATATTGATTCTCTTTCCTTGTTTAAACTTTTGATACTCGCTAGTGTAGAATTTATTTAAGACTGAAGCCTAGAGAAACAACCAAATCTCATGAGAACGTGGACATAACAAATCACATATTGCAACATAATGCACATATCGTATTGTTCTATGTGTGAGATACTAAGCATATTTTATGACCTGAATGCATTGATTGGCATTTGTTGTAATCCTAATGCCATCAAACTTGCTAGCTGGTTTATTGTCTATTTGGTTTTATAGATCAGTCTGTTGGGTGCATAAATTTCCTCTTATCTTCCTCACCCTCGTGTGACCATCTTCCGATTGATTGCAAACTCCATTGAAGCTAGACCTGCTTCCTACAGAAGCTAGACCTGCTTCCTACAGAAGCTAGAATAAGCGGCAAGGAATACAAGGAGAGAGTTGTTAACAATCTCAAGATTTTAATTGTGCATTACTCGGGTATTTTATTGTAGGGATGGATATATATTTTTTTTTCTTTTCTTTCCCCACTAGCAGATGTTATGGGGAAGGAGGTCAATGTTTCTGATCTTGTTTACTGGTACCTTCATTATAGAAGCATTTTGTTGACTTTCTCATGACTAATTTAATGATTTGAGTGTAATAAATTTGCCACTAATGGTTCTGAGTGAAATGATTTGACTTTGTTTCATATTTCAGTGCACCAGTCACATTCTAAAGCAGTGAAGAGAGCCATCAGTGAACATTGTGGTGTATGGACAATCTCAATGCTTAGTTACTTTTACTGTTTCCAGTGCATTGGTATAAGGTTAGCTTGGTAAACATTATGGTGTACTTGAATTGAGTGTTTTTATATAACTCACTCTCCTAGTGTAAACATGACAGCCAATGAATTAGTTTGAATTTTTACTTAACTTCTGTTAACCTGATAGCTTAAAAGTTACTAAGAATTGTATAGTTTTGAGGGCTGTTTGAACAATTTATGGATGACAAACATGGTAAACTGATTTCTGAGCATTTTGTATAGTTTTGTTGCTGGTTTTGTTTGATTTGTTTTCTGACTGTTCTGGTAAATGAGGTAAATTGCTGCGTCAATTCTGATTTGGTTACATGATTTTGTTTGGGTTGCTGAGTTGAAATGGTTTTCTAAACTGGTGATGATCTGTGTTGAATCAGTTTGCTGATCTGCTATACTAATCTGCTATTCTTTTGGTGCTGTTGTGATGTTGCTGTTGTTGCTCAGATGCTGTGGTGATGCTGCTGTGATGGTGATTGTTACGATGAGATGTTGCGGTGTTGTTGTTGGATGTTTGCTAGTGTTGTTGATGTTTGAAAGGGTGAAGGACTTTTTGTCCGGTCTATAATAGATCAGGTTTTCATTAATGGGGGTTGTCATTAGGTGTAAGTTCGGGCAACTGCTGGTGTTTTGGATGGAAGGGTATGAAGGGGGTATTTTTTGTGATTTCATATCAATGTTATTAGTTTGTTATAGTGGTGCCTGAGGGATGCCTCTTGTAAAACTGTAAATCTTTTAAAAAATTATAAATGACTTTCAGTTATTTTTGCCGCTGCAAATTTGTCGTAATTAAAAAGTAAAGCTTTCTCGACAAATAACTTGTCGGTAAATGTGTAGCCAAAGATTTATTTTTGCCCACTCATATTGTGTTACTAAAAGTGTATTTTTTGCCAATGCCAATTTGTCGTTGCCAAAACTAAAGCTTTATCGACAACCAAATCGTTGGCAAATGGCAACATTTACCGACGTAAATGTGTCGCTAAAAGTTACTTTTCCCCACTCATATTGTGTTGGTAGAAGTGTATTTTTTGCCAATGCTAATTTGTCGTTGCCAAAAGTAAAGCTTTAGCGACAAACAAATCGTCGGCAAATGGCAACATTTACCGACGTAAATGTGTCGCTAAAAGTTACTTTTCCCCACTCATATTGTGTTGGTAGAAGTGTATTTTTTGCCAATGCCAATTTGTCGTTGCCAAAAGTAAAGCTTTAGCGACAAACAAATCGTCGGCAAATGGCAACATTTGCCGACGTAAATGTGTCGCCAAAAGTTTACTTTTGCCGACGCATATGTTGTTGCTAAAAGTATATTTTTTGCCCATGCAAATTTGTGTCGCGAAAAGTGCCACACAATCATCCTATTTGAATGACTTTTACCAACGCAAGGTAAATTGCCGACGATGGATGAAGTCTGATGTTTCTTTGGCCATCTCCTCACTGACAAATAGAAAAACCAGGGATCAGATCATGATTCTCAACTCAAAAAGGTGCAGCATTCTTGTTTTTCAACAAGCTTTATACCTTGTCCATTTCCTTCACCGTCAAATTTCTTCTCCCCCACTTATTGTTTACGACACCAATCTGTATTGAGAATTCACAAATGACAATTATATTATATTTACATGACTTTTCTTTTGGTATTTGATTGATGCATATTTTGTGCGATCCCAATAAGTCTTTGCATTTTTGGTTGTTGTTAGGAATCAACTGTCTATTGTTATGACCGATTCAGACGTTTTCTGTCTTGATCTTGATAGAGATTTGTTGTTGATAGCTTGTCTTCATCTGTACCAGACCAAAAGAAAAAAAGAAAAAAAGCTTGCTTTGTAATAATCAAAAGTGGTTTGAACATCACTCTAAATGGATGGGTGCTTCAATGGAATCATAATATATAATCTTACATTAGGACTTTTTGTTTCGGAAACTAACTATTTTGTTGTTTTTAAACCTTTCTAGGTCGCTTAGGTATTGTCGATCATGATGTAGTTCAGCTTAACAATCTGCACAGGCAGGTAGGACTCTCAATTCTGAGATCACGTTGATATTAATTTCTTGATGGATACATATTACATTCTACTAATATGGGGCTA